TTTGTCACACATTGTGTCACAAATATATTACAGCTGTCTCCATGGCATAGCATAAATTTTTTACCTCCGTCTTCTAACGGTTAAGGTACTTTTCGATGAAATGTTAGGTATAGGTTATACACCGAGGTAGAGGTTTCTATGGTATTTATTAACCGAGCGACGCAGTCGCGAGGTTAATAAATACCATAGAAACCGATACCGAGGTGTATAACCAACTTCTACCATGACACTTGAAAAACAACTACCAGCTGCTGATAATAAGACCACAGTTGACATACATACAACATATCTAACAGGCTAGGCAGTAAAGAATCAACCAAACTTGACAAATGCACTAATAAGAGCATAAGCGTAGAGTACCAAACTGCCAATCAATTAATTATTTAACGAGATAGGTTTATATTTTTGCGAGCTAGGTTAATATGAAAAATAATTGACCTCCAATACTGCAATCTGATTGGTCAATTGCAAGGTGGCATGGTCGAATATTTTTTTAATTGATGCCATTTTATTGGAAATAAAAATTATACGTCTTGTGCTTTTTTAAATTTTTAACAAGCACTGTTTACAAGTTATAGATCATTAAACTTTAAATATTTTTTAAAAATTCCTGCATCACTTTCCATACTTTATGAACTCACTTGTTGTAATTTCTGAGCAAATTTTTTTCTCATTTTTTCATTGTAGATTCAGTTGCAATTGAAGCTGAAATTCTCATTTGCCTTGTGTACAGTGGCATTTGTCGGACATAGATTTTAACATATAAAAAATATGCAAATTTACCATTTCATTGATTACATGACATAAAACTACTTTTTTATTACCTGATGGAGTTTTGTTATTACTAATAATTCTGTTCATTTTGTAGTGATCTTTGAAATGCCATTTTAAGAAAGTGAATGCAACAATGTTCAGCAATGAATATAGTTATTGCACTAATACATATACTTACAAAATCTGTGAATATTATTAATTTTTATATGAATTTAGTTTAGTATCATTTGTTTTGAAATGAGAAAGAGGAAGTCTCATGACTTCTGTTAGAAAATTTATGGTTTTTGGTGGCACAAAGGATAGGTGTGGCATGTCCCTGAAATAAAAATGGCTGTCAGTTCCATTTGGTTTCTTGTAAGCTCCTCCTGTTTTAGCTGTATGCGCTCTTTCTGCGAAAACTCCATTTCAGCCTTTTGTCCTTCATCTAAAGTCAAAGCTAAAGCTACAATTAGACTTGAACCACCATAGGTTACACTGACATGGTAGCAGTTATTATAATGACTTTGATTGTAACTGCAAAAGCAACAGGAGATGCATGTTTCTTTGAGACTGACTGAGGTCACTCCATTTCCCAGCAAAAGGCGTTCCCGAAGCATAAGTTTTGTAGTCACATGTACTTTCTTTGACTTCAAAATGAAGGAATTCAGTGATCTGTGAGTTAAATTTTGTCCAAGGATCAACAAACCTTTGCATATTGGGGACAAGGTAATAGTGGAGAGTTCAGTGTTTTGAAGTTGGTGATTCACTACTTTGTAACAACTCTGTAAGTCTACTTTTTACCTTTCCGTTTTGCAGCAATATCTTGTTCTAAATTTATCTATTTACTTTCACTATATTAATCATTGAAAATATAACTTTATTATTGTTTATTATATTATTTTTATTAAAAATTATAATTGTAAGAATATATTATGAAGTAATACTAAAAACAAGACATTGTAGAGCTAGCCAACATTGTAGTAGTACTCTCAACCAAGTTTTTATGGACCTATTAAGGTACACACATATAAAACACTAAATTTGATAAATGTAAATTTACATGTAGCTAGACACTAGTCTTGTTCTACTTCTTGTTTTTAAAATTAGTTCTAGTTTTAGTTCCAGGACTAAACCTGTAGCCACTCTTAGTTCTATTTCTAGTTCCAGTACTAAACTTGTAACTGATATAGTTCCAGTCGTCTTTCCATTATTAAACCCGTAACTAATATTAGTTCTAGTTCTAGTTCAAGTACTAAACCCATAGCTGAAATAGTTCTAGTTCTTGTTCCAGGACTAAACTTATAAAATGTATTAGTTCTAGCTCTAGTTCCTGTACTAAACATGCCACTGATATAGTTCTAGTTTATGTTCCAGTAGTTCTAGTCCTAGCTACATTCTATTTCGCTAGTAAAAGCATACAGATATTGCCCTTACTAACTAAGTGCTTCAGTTCAAAATTCCTAGTTCTAGTTCTAGTTCTTTTCAACTCCTTCAGAATAGTCGAGTTTTATTTTATAGTTTCCTTCACATTTATGTACTAGTTCTAGTTAAGTTCTATTTCTCTGGAGTTTTTTCATATTAGTTCTAGTTATGGTTCTAGTTATGGTTCTAGTTCCTTTTTTTTTATAAGTTTAGAAGTTTAGGTATTGAAATCTCACAGCAACAAAAATGCAACATTGGATATGTTGGATTAAATGAATAACAAGGCATATACAGCCAACATTAGTGCAGCATTGTTGCACTGCAGTGTTGTTGCATTGTTTCACTGTTGCGCTGTTGCATTGTAGCACTGTAGCACTGTTGCATTGTTACACTATTGCATTGTAGTATCGTAGCACTGTGGCATTGTAGCACTGTTGCATTGTTGTATTGTTGCTTTGATTTGCTCTGTAGCACTGATTCACTTTTGCATTAATATAGTGTTGCATTGTTGCACTGTTGCATTGATGAAGTGTTGCACTGTTGCATTGATGCACTGTTTCACTGTTGTGTTGCACTGTTGCGTGATGCATTGTTGCACTATTGCATTTTATGCACTGTTGCACTGTTGCATTGACGCACTGCTGCATGTTGCATTGTTGCACTGTTCCAGCATTGCACCATTTCACTGCTGCACTGTTTCACCGCTGCACTGGCTGTTGCACACTTTCACAGCTGCAATTGTTCCACTGTTGCGCTGTTTCACTGCTGTACCATTTCAATTGTATACTGTGACACGGTTGCGCCGTTTCATCGCTGCACATTTTTACTGTTGAACTGTTTCTATTCAAATATTGTTGCACTGTGCACTGTTTCACTGTTGCACCTTTGCACTGCACTGTTTCAACGCTTTACCATTGCATACTTCATATACAGTAATTTAATGATGAATGTCAATAATAGGAAACTATTATAAATCAAAATTATACAAGTAACTAAAAAAATGTCTATTAAATAAGAAAAAGTAGGGTTGTCAAAAAATAAGAAAAACAAGGGGGTTGAGTTCAACCATAATAATAATTAATTGTTTAATTAATAATAATAAACTTTAATTAATAAAAAAATAATTTATTTATGAACATAATACAAATATTTCAAACCCTACTTTGCAGCAAATGATAACAGACAGACTAAAAAATAAATAGAATTTTAATAATTACTATGATGTAAATTAATTATCATGATAAACATAAATAAGAATTTTCAGCTAGTATTGATTGAAGAAATTACTGTCATCGCAATAAAAAAATCTAAATTATGGATAATTATTTGGCTGTTGCATTCTTTGAATTTTGTGATTCAGAACAATATCAAAAATTAAAAATATTATTGTATATATATATACTTGTTAGGAATTGTAATTGGATTTGCCACGTTTGTGTAGGCTGGAACTAAGCAGTTTGGTTATCATTCTTTCATTGAAATTTGTCATTTTAAAGAAACAATACTCCTTTATAAATTTCTGCAAAGTAGGGTTTGAAATTTTTGTATTATTATTATGAATAAATTATTTTTTTATTAATTAAAGTTTATTATTATTAATTGAACAATTAATTATAATTATGGTTGAACTCAACCCCCTTGTTTCTTTTATTTTTTGACAACCCTACTTTTTCTTATTTAATAGAAATTTTTTTTATTTACTTGTTTCCTTACTTTATATTAAATTTTATTAATTAATAATTCGTTTTAATTATAATTATAATTTTTGCCTTAGGTATCAGTTCATTACTGGAAGAAAAGAATTTTGAAATAAGAACCATAAGAAGACCTATCACATTTTAAAAACAGTTTTCATACAATCATTAATTTTTTTGAACTTTTGAATCATTAATTATATTCATAGCCTAGCTCACAATAATTAATCATTATTGTCATTACTAAGATCTGTTTCCTGTTCTGAAACTATTTAAGTTTAGATTCAACTTTAGTTCGGTTGCCATTTTTCATTTTTCAGTTTCCGCTCACAGCTCTCAAACAAAACTCCTCTGTTTTGCTTTGCAGCTTTTTTTGAGAAAGCAAGTCAGTTCAGTTACAGACTTACATTTGCTTTCACTATGTTATGTTATAGTTTATGGATAATGATGAGCATCATGGAGTTCCTCCTCCACCACCACTTCCCGGAGGCCCGCCACCACCACCACGACCAGATGCTCGACCACCACCACCAGATGCTCTACCACCACCACCAATTCCTCAGCCACCTCCAGTAGCTGGAGGTCCTCCACCAGTGGATGGAGGTCCTCCACCGCTGGCTGGAGGTCCGCTACCAGTGGCTGGTGGTCCTCCACCAGTTGATGGATGTCCTCCACCGCTGGCTGGATGTCCGCCACTGCTGGGTGGAGGTCCTCCGCCACATCCCCCTGCTGCTCCAGCACTCCATACAGCTGAAGCTCCTCTTGATGTTGCTGCTCTGCAAAGGCAGAGGCAGCTCATATAGCAGCTACGCCAAGTCAATAGACAAATTGTAAGATTATTTTAGTTATTATCTGCCGTTTATATAGAGATACCAATTTATCACCTCTCTATTCCATTTTACTTTAGTACAACAATCTTCTGAGAGGCAGGCCAAGAGGCAGAGACAGGGGTAGGGGCAGGAAGAACAGCAACTCAATAAAGAACTATAACTTTTATTAATTTATTATTTACATGTAGATCTATAAAGTTAACTTTTCTTGAATTAAAAACTTATAATAAAAGTCTAATACCTTTAAGCGTAAAGCCAAAACAGAAATTATAAAAGCAATGCTTAAAATTAGTGATTGTTCAACAATGCAAAACAATTCAATACTTGAGCTTCAATCTTCCTACAATACAAATACATGTGATATACATTACTTAATTATATTAACGAGTAAAGGAAATACATACCGTGGCCATAGTTAATCAGATAATCATTATTAATCCTAAAAACAAATTATAGTCATAGATCATTTCCTATAACACAATAATAAAAAACTGGAATCTCAAAAAAATTCTATCTTACTATGTATTCAATTGCTAAGACTATGACAATATAAAACCTGTGCAGCTAGAAACTGGTGCCTCCTTGAGTGTGAAAGCACCACTGATCAAAGAGCTACAACAAAAAAATGTTAGAATGATGATTATTTATTAGAAATTAATTTATTTACCACAAACAAAATCAGACAATAGCCTTAGACAGTCACCATGCTATGAAAGTATTGTTACACCTTATTGCTGAATCATTAAATCATTTGCAGCTGTAAATACCTCAAAGCAAAGTAAGAAAGAAACATCATCAACAGCAAGCAATGTAAACACACAGGCTATATATGCTCTACTAAATATGTACATGTATATGCATGATATGACTTATGTTTGTAACAAACATACATTACAAACCACTAATAAGATATATCTGCTCACAAAGAAGAATAACCCTTCACCTTTTAAATCTCTTTCCAAGTCTAACCTTATTCTTTAACACCACATTGCAATCCATGTGTAAAATATGTACCTGTGTAAATTATGAATGTGAAATTATTCATGTACTAACAAATTAACAGTAGCATACATGCATTTATCAACAATTAATATACATATACGACATGTATAGCTTCACAATGCATATTAAGCTATGATTGAATCATACAAGTATATGTACATACACTGCACATGTAATTTAGACAGACAATGTTCAATTTGCTGACTCATGCCATTCTGAATTAAGTTTCTTTTACGAGACCTGCATTGTGCAAATACACATTAATAGACCACATGAATACATTCCAATGTGCAAACAATTATTATTGTATTGTTGATGAGAACATCCATGCACACAAATAAAGATGCATTGGCAAGCATTCATTTATATTGAGTAAAGAAAGTACTTACTGTGGCCATAATTAATGATAATCATCAAACGAATATACAGTATGTCACCTAGAATCATAACCTACGTGTATAACAAAATACATAAGACATCTCACAATACTCTCCTCATCTTACTACATATTCCATTGCTAAGACTACAGTAATATGAAACATATACAGATGTAAACTGGCACCTCCTACAGCATGATACAACTACTAATCAAGGAGCTGCAACAAAACATTACATAAAATTTAATGCATAAATTAATTTAGTTACAACAATCTAAATATACAATTGCCTTTCATTATATTGCACATTCCAATATCAAGCAAAAGTATTGCTGAATCAGCAAATCATTTCCAGCTGTAATTACCTGTAAAGCATAGTAATAGAAACATATCAAAGGTAAGAAATGTAAACTCACAGGCTAATAATAACAATAGCACAAACAGTAATTGTGAACAAACTTTATTATTAATCACATCAACCTCACTCTTTAACACCACACAGTAGTCTTTTGCCTGTACAATGTATGAATGTGACATAATAACTAAAAGTAAATAAAAAACATTAAAAATGGAATAGTAGTAGGATGAGGAGAGTATTGTGAGATGTCTTA